AAGTGTTCAATAGGTAATACGTCTAGTTGAGATGTCTAAATGAATAATCGGGACAAGTTTGAGTGGCTGCATATGACTTTGGCCTTTTGTAATTGAAGATTGATATGATCATATATGATATCCACGTGACATAGAAAGCAGGGTAAAATATTGTCTAATGAGAATTAAAATTTATAGTCTAAGAATGCATACATAGAGAATAATAAACTTCGTTGCATAATATCTTTTAGAAAATTGAGAAAATTCAGGAAAGTTAATTGGAAATGGTTCGACATTCGATGAATACATGATGTGTTGTTTCTACTAAACGAAAGTGTTGGATGTATGATTATTGAAAATCATTTATCTTTAACACGTTCCATTAAACATTCTTAAATTAGTCAGAAACTTAAATAACTCTCTTTGTTACTCTTTTTCTTAATCGTAATTTCTATTTTCAAATAAGTTCTCTCTCATGGCTTCCACAACTTTTTCTCTCCTTGTATGGTATATATCATAATAAATATGTACATCATATGTATATCAATGTATATACTTGACATATACACTGGCATACACAAAATATACAAGATATGCATATGATATACACATGATAACATATGGTTGGTTATACACACTTGTATATCTTTGTATGTACTTGTATGTTATGTGCATGTCACAGTATATAGTACAGTGTTATACATACCATATACACTAGATATACACCATAATTATCTTTAGCCCAGGTCAAAAGTACCCTTTCTTAGGCCCCGCATATTGCGGGAACTTTAAGAAAGAAAATTCGTTTTATCTTTCACAAAATGTGAATAATTTAATTATTATTTTGGACATTTATGGAAAGAAAGATTTGTGTAAAATGAACTTATTATTCATGATCACCATTTAACTATAAAATCCCTAACTACTCTATAGTAATTAATAGGATGGCAAAGAAGATAGTACTACAATTCATTTGACCATTCGATTTTTCATTTCAGTTGATCGAAAAATTTAGAAAATATTTTCTCCAAGAAAATAAGTTATTTGTCGTAAATAAGTATATTTGTAATGAAGATGCATGTTTAATTGCAAAAACTAACTTCAATTCATCTCCTAGAGAGAGAATGAACTAATTAATTTACTAATCAAATTTTCGGACATTTTTTTTTATGACAAGAGTACTCTTCTTTGAATTCGCCTAGGGTAAATATAACAGCTCGCAAATCATACTTAAGAATTAGACTGCGCTATAGACAAGTCCCATGCGATTAAATTGAACAAAGTACGCCCTTGATTATCAAATTTTAATTAGTAATTAAGTTTCAAATTATATTTAAATTACACAACAGGATTCCAGTCATCATCTTGCAGATTGAATCAGAATTGAGGGCACTCACTGAATTTAATTGAATTTATTCCTTTTAATTAAATTAAAATTATACTATATTTAACGGGGATTTAGATGACTCTTTCGAGTATCCAGGGGTTAACAGAAGTTAAACATATAATTTTGTACATTTCTATAAATGATAAAACAAAAAAAAAAAACACACAATTATTTGATCGTCTAATATTTAATCAATAGGAATAGTACAAGTCAATTTTTTTGACAATAACCAAACTCATAACATGAAATATTGTTTGTCATTTCAACATATATAATAACTAATGTTTCTCAATAAAATTAAGTCCCTTCTTATTTGGTCATCATAATAATTAATATATTTTGATTAAAGTAAACTCACGTTTCTAATCTAATCTACCCTCCAAATTAAACTAACAGACATTCCCCTTGGCTAAGTTAAATTATACTAAACCAATTAAGAAAACACACATGGTTGATCATCATGACATGGCGCACCTATATCGTTATTATTACGAGCCTGATACATAAAATATTTCACAGTTACGTAGTATTCGAAAAGGGGCATACCAAAAGTGTGTGATGTAAATAATTTATCTTAATCGCTTTCATTGCTCAAATTCAAATGGGACTTATAACTCAAAAAAAAAACATTATATTTATATTTTAATATTCAAATGAATATTCGAAGGCTTAATACTCCCTTTACTAGTTCATGCACCTGTTCACAAGTAAATAATTTAATTAATTAATGTGTTCACCAACAACTAAAAGTTCGAGAAGTACGAAAAAATATAATATTAATGGAAGAAACAAAAAAGTCTAAATGGCATTAACACCTTTTTCTGTTGAGACAAAAAGTGGGTGACCAAAAGAAAATAAAAGGGCCTATAATTTATTTTATTAAATTTAGTAGAATAGCAAATACAAAAACTAACAAGTCAACTATGATCTTCTATCTTCCTTGAATTTTATTTTCCTTTATGCACGTTCTTTTCTTTTTTTTTTCTTTTTTTTAGCTTAATTTCTATGCACTTTACAAAAATAATTATAGGATCATGTTACAAATAAGCACCTCTATTTATTACATTTTTTATTTCAATATCAAACATAATATGTTTAAGATCACATAGTTGACGAATATATTAAATATATATTATATACACTTTTAATTTTTTAAGATCATAAAATTTAAAAAAAATATAATTTTGAATTTCTTGCTCAAATAATCTAAGATGACTCATGAAATGAAATGGATAGAGTAATTAGTTTGGTGTATTTGTAATGATAATTTTAAATTTGTAATATGATAAAAAAATATAGTTACTAACTTTGTTTCTCACTGTGTGGTTGAAATTGAATGAGCGATTGAGTTTAAAAAAAATAACTTTTAAAATTTAGGTATAATATAAATATATGTCTTTGGATTTGGTATTTGATATTTATCTTCTTTAACTATAGGCATGCATATATAGATTTTTAAATTTGTATAAAATTAAATAAATGGATGATATTTTACGTGACAATTTGTACTTTGTGTGACGTCTTACATGTATATCTCGTAGGACATGTGTGTCTATTTATTTAAGTATTTACTTGTACATATTCAAAACGAGAAAATATAATGTATTTTCAAACCTCATCCCTAATTTGAGTTGTTTTTGAAAGACTTCCGACCAAAATAAAATAATTGCATGTTTACTTTTTCTTTTAATAAATAAAAATGGTTCATTTTAACTTCCTTAACTACCCCACTTGGCCCCACCATCAAGATTCCACGTCACGAGCCCCCACCTTTTTTTGGCTGAACATGTTTTCTATTCTTTATAAATTATAAACCCCTCTTAGCTTCCCTTAGCCTTATACAAGTCATCAAATTCCCTCAATAATCAAACAAATTATATTTCCCCAAATTAAAGCAAAAAATTGAATTTGGTCTTATAAGAAAATGGATTCATATAAGAATGAAGAAGAAACAAGTGATGATCATAATAATGATGAACAAGAAGAAAGTGGATGGACAACTTATTTGGAGGATTTTTCAATGGAACAACATAACAATAACAGCATTAATAATAATAATAGTGAAATTAGCACATATTGTGATAGTTTTGGAAGTCCATCTTTGTTGTCTGATGCTGCTTCTCATGTTGTTTGGAACAATAATCATCAAGTCATGATTAATACAAGTAATTATGGCTCACCATTTCTTAAGAGATTAAATTTGAAGAAACCAAGGAACAACAAAATCTCTGATCCTGATTTACAAGACACTGCTAGCTCACCTGTCAATAGTCCAAAGGTATCATTATATCCTCTCTTTTTTTTTCCACCTTTTTATTTTATAACAGTAGCAAAGGGAGCTCGCAGCAACGATAAAGTTATTTCTGTGTGATTTATAAATTGAAATCACAGAAGCAGACATGAAATGTTTGTGTATTAGGATAGGAGGTTTACATCACATGCATCATCCCTTAAGGTGTGGATCGTTTTCTGAATCCTTCGTGTAGATGAAATGTTTTGTGCATCAAGATGGTTTTTTCCCTTTTTTTAATAGTGGTGGTCATGTCTTAAGAGTGTTTATAAATAATTTTTGAAATTTATTTTAATGAATTTATGTGCATCTCAATTATTGATATTTATTATCTTTCGCCAGCACAAGTATTAATAATCTTGCCTATGTATGATTGATTCATTAATTTTCTTTCTTTTATATTGAGATATCTTGCTTGGTTTTTATAGGTAAGTAGTTTTAATAAGCAGATGGACATCAATTACCGAAGAGGAGACAACAATAATAATGGAAATTTTCAGGTAATACTTCTCTCTAAATTCTTAGATATATTAATATCAATCTTCTAAAAAGATAAAATAAAATAGAAACTAATATTTTATTTTATTTTTTTGGTATTTGTTTATTTATTGTTTAGGGATTTGAAGGTAGCTCTAGACAACATCAAGAAATGGAAACAATAGAAAAAAATAGTAGTATGTGTTTTGATGAAAGGAACAAAAGTTATATGGACCTCAAGAAGAAGGGACTTTGTTTGGTTCCTTTGTCCATGTTGGTCAACTATAGAGGTTGATGTTCATTTGAGCTGCGCGTTTTCGTTTTAGATACATAAAGTATGATTTCGAAAGTGATTTTGATTTGTCATATTAAGCTCAACTAGTATATAAAAAGTCTACTTAATTCCTTTCTCACTATGTAAAAATATTTTTCAGTTTATTTGTAAGGGAAAGAAATGTATTAGTTAGTATGAAATAGTTTCTTTTTTCATCATTACTCTTGTCAAAGAACCAAAATAAGAAAGATGGAAATAAATGAAAGAGGGATTTGTATATAAATTTGTATGTATGACTTTTCTCCCTTTCACTATCTAAATATAAATTGCATGTTCATGACTATCAACTACTTATTAGTTGAAATTGAAACCATTTAGATTGTCACAGTAACAATAATACTAAATAAATAAAATTATTGTTAATTAGGAAACCTAAATTTGGAAAACAAATCACAAATACTCATTATAGTACAAATGGAGCAAAAAATGGTAGTTGACTTGCGAGCGTGCAAATGGAACAACATTGGAGGACAAATTAAGCGTTTGATCGTGAAAATTTCACTATGAAAATCAAACACCGAATGAATTTCTTTTTTTTTTAAAAAAAAACAAAATTAAAAACCCCACTTATAAAAAAAAATCTAAAATACTTATTACAAATGTGCATATATCCATACTCAAATCATTATATAATGTGATGATGATGGGGTGCTATGCCAGAAAAAAAATTTAAATGTTATATCTATATCTGGTTTTTTTCGTTCTAAAATTAGATAACACCTCTTGCAGATATAATAATTATTTTTGGACCTATAATTTTAAATGTTTAATGAATTCAAATGATAGAACACAAATGTCTTATTCTCTCGAAATTCCGAGTACGCGTATAATCATACATATTTAGCCACCATAATGTCTATCTTATTATATACCGCTTCCTTTTTTCTTCCATCTTCCTGGAGATCGAAAACAAAAATAATAGTAATACCTAACACAAAGAGGAAAAGCACAATAATAACATGTATTTTTTTTTTATCAAGTGTGTGTGAATTGTGATCATATATATAATATAATATATCAAATAGGTAGCTAAACATATATAGAGGCCATCCTATACTAGGCTTATGACATAGGCTTGCTTACATCCCTTTTTAGTCCATACCAAATTCCTGACTTTACTAACCTTATTAATTAATACATGGAACCACTAATACCTAATTATTCTCATGGTGTACTAACAACAAAATTATTGTACTAGTACTTTGTCAAAAGTAAATATGAAGTATTAAATTAAAGGATATAAACTAGAAAATTTATGTGGCTTAGTGGATTCAGTCCTCTAATTATTCTTTATAGGGTTTACATAATATGGTATTAGTAATAATTTAGTTTTTTTAGCAGTAAATATACTTATTATTCGCGCAAATACAATTAGACAAAAATATTATATCCATACGGATACAGTGCAAGTATATTCCAATATTCATTCTTGTCCCTACGACTTTGGCCTTATTTTAAAGGTGAATATTGCATTTAATTGGTAAAAAAAAATAATAAGTAATCCGTCAAACTTATATTCCACAAATACAATGGCCTTTTTCATTTATGAATATAATTTACGCATTTATTTATAATATATCATTTTATTAAACAAACTCTCAATCTTATTCACTTTGAAAAGACTATTAGTCCTTAATTAAAAAATGAAAAGACTATATATATATAAAAGACAAAAAATAATATCACTAGCTAGAGTTAATTTAAAATCTAGTTGCATTTAATTAAGAGGAAATGTTTAATATTGTGACTAGGTATTTATCATTTTAAATTAAAACTTATATATATTAAATATAAAGATGACCCCTCCATGTGCATATGTACTCATTAAGTAGATGAAGCCAAGGACTGCATACACACCATAATTTAGTTTGTTAATTTAATTATCAAGTATAATTAGGTTTTGTTAACTTAACTTGAGTTTGATAGTCATCCAGTCTATGATGTGGACGTAATAACAATCAATATAATAGATTTTAAAATATATGACATTGTAAATTTTCTCAATTGAAATTCGACTAATTTGGATTTACACTGAGCAGTATTCATTTTGGGGTAATACTTCCTATCAAGATTCTTTTTTCATACTCAGACTCAACCATCTGATTAAGAAAAGAGCAACCTCATCCACAACATCTCATTTTTGGTAGTCGATCAATGTTTACTCTATCCCTTCTCCATTTTATTTGCTAGTTCAATTTATATTTTGCACTCTCCTAAAAAAAGACATTCATTAGGTGTTTATTTTATCAAGTTGTCCTTATTTAATGTGCTTAAGAAAATTAAATTTGATTATTACTCTAATACATCTGAAAATAGTTACTTAACGAAAAAGGTCAAAAAAAATTTCTTAAATGTAATCCTCTCTTGATAAAATGGACAAAGAAATGTTGAATTATCCCGCGATAAGGATGAATTTGTCTTTGATTAAGTTAGGCTCAAAATTCATTTCTTATCTGAAGAATAAATGGAGGATTCATTTCTTATCTTGGAAATATTCAAACCAGAAATAAGTTGGGGAAAAAATCATTTATTGTAAATTGTGATTTAAGACTGGCAATGGCTTAATTCTAATTATAGAAATGTTTGTTTAACTTTGTGTAAAAGTCATTCATGAAATTGATGATTAAATCAAATGGTGTAATCATTGATTAACATTGTCAAATGAATTAGGTTAATTAGGATGGAGTGGAAATAGAATGGTCATAAATCATAACTCATAATTATCTTATTTTTGATGGAACATTAACAGACTAAATGCATAATTAATCAAGATTAAGCACATGCATTCCTAATTAACCTTGTCAGTTCAAATTTAGGCAATTTTAATGTCTGACATATGGAGTGTCAATATCCACCTCAGCGTCTTGAATTATTTGAGGTTTTTTTGGGGGAAATTTAAGTTTTTTCGCGGAGTAATAAAATTTATTTTTCAGAAGCTAAGTTTTTTAATAATATTTTTCCTCAAAAAGGTACTTTTGAGAAAATAAATTTAGAAGTATTTTTTAAAAGGTTTAGTTAAATATTAGTTATTATTTTAAAATCATTTTAAAAATTAATTGATCAACCATAAATTAATTTACACCAACTTTTTTTTTAAAAAAGTTTATTAAAAAAACATTTTCCGAAATAATAAGTTTACATATACATGTAGTCGGTCGGATGCGCAGCAATTATCACATAATTTTGATCTTATCTTTAGGATTATGACTTTTAGTATGATTAGATAGTGGATTAAGCTCCCTAATGACCAATTTCTCTGTATAATCTTGTGCAGTGTCGGATATTATCACATCAACACACAATTAATCAATCAAATTCAATTATTTCAAAGCATTTATTATTAGCTTTATCCATTTGTCGTTCATCGTCTTTTCACAATATTTAGAAATCTGTTTGAATTAGCTGATCAAAAATTAATATTAAATATTGGTGTTTATTCTAAAATAAAAGATAATATTTTAAAACAAAAATATTAAAATTAATAAATAAGTCAAGTTTGGTAAAAAGATACTAATAAACAATTTTCTAATTAATGAGACAAATATCCTCAAATTATTTTTCGAATATATAAATTTGAAAGAAATATAAAAAGTGACGAATCACAAAAATAAATAAATAAATAGATAGATAATTAAGAGTTATACTTTAGAAAGGAAATTTTGGAAATTATAAAAGATGTTAGGGATGATCAAATAATAAATCCATGATCTAATCTTTTATGAGTTGTGGGTGACAATTTATAATTGATTTTAATTTATAAAGCATTTGATTTTAAAATAGAGAAAATAATAACAATCCAAAGAAAAATAATACAAGTAATAATAAAGACAATTAAAAAAATAAGTAATATATTATCACTTATTTTTAAAAAAAATTAAACAGTTGAAAATAAACATTTATTTTTAATATAATATAAACATGCGAAAGTGGTTTCTTTGATCCATTTTAATTCACATGCTTATTTGAAAACTATAGGTTCAAATTAGTTTTTATTTAAAAACTAAAAAATAATAAATTATTGATTTTCAAAGGCATAAAAATTAGATGTGATTTACCAAGCAGAATAGTACTAAAGTCAACAATAATAATAATGCATAGCCACAATTGTTGTATTTAGAGAGTGAAGGTTTTTGTGGTACGTTGTACATCCCGTGATTAGTGCAATTGTCATTAAATTACTGACTTTCAATCATTTATTTTGATATTTTATTCGTTTCAAATTTTTTTTATAATTTTTTAAATTTTAAAATAAAATAACTCTTTTTTATTTTATTCTTTGAAATAATGAGCACCTTGTGAAAGATTGAAAGTTTTTCGCATAGATAATCAAGGGTATCAATTTATATGAATTTGAACAATTCTTTTTTAATGAGTAAGGTTTAAGATTGAATTTTACAAAGTTCGGATAATTTTTCTCTCTTTGAACTATCTTTTGATAGATAAGTTTGGCTAAAAACTTAATTTTACAATTTCAAGCAGACATTATTTAATCTAGAATGATTTATATTATAAAACCAAAACCTAAATAAGAATTCATATGTTTCAATTTGTTTGATTAAATTTAAAGTATAAAGATCGAACTAACTACTGATATTTCGTGTGAAATCAAATATAGAATTATCAACTTCGTTTGATATATAATTTATATATTTAAAAATTATATATAAAATGTAATTACACAATAGTCAACAGTTCAAAATTATTAAAAATATAATTAAGAGAAAACAAAGCTAAAACAAGAAATGAAACCATCATTATTGAGTAATGTAATAATGCTCGTCTCGACTTGTCTGCTATTCATTAAATATATGGTTCACTGAATTTAGTCTAAACATGTTCACTTAACTAAAACATGTTTCTAAATAGTACGTAGATACTTTTTAATTTGTTATATTTTTGGAATATTAATACTTTTGTTATTTAAAAACTGTAATATATATATTTTTTATGAGTCCAGAGTCGAAATGGGATAAAATATTAACAAAAATTTCAAAATAATATATAAAATTTTATATTAACCAAATTGGTAAAATCGCTGCAACAACAGCGATTTCCTCCCCGGAAAAAGCAAAATCTCTGCAGTAGCAGCAATTTTGCAAAATGTGATTTTTTACAAAAAAAAAGATAATCCAAATCGCTACCTAGACCGTGATTTTCATTTTTTTTTTAAAAAAAAGGACAATCTCTCATTTGCATATAGAAAATAAAAATATTTTTTAAAAATCTATAATAA